TATATATATATATATATATATATATATATATATATATATATATATATATATAGTTATGAATTCATAGATAGAATTTGTTGCAATTTACAGAAAATTTTAAAATATAAATAAAATACTGAATTCACATTAATCAAAAAATTTAAAGTTAGTCGATGCACCTACCTATGTTTAGCAAACTGAGTTATATGATATGTGTCTTAATAAGAGGTAGCAAGTACTTCAAAAGCACAAACTAGTTCTAAAGCAATAACAAAAAAATATACCAACCATAATTCTATAAAGTGAGGTCTTGGGAGGGTAGAGTGTAACACACCTTACTTCTATCTTGGAGGCAGAAAAATTACTTTCCGAATACTCTTGACTTAATGAAACAAAAAGTTTAAAGTAGTACAGAAAAGAAAAGCTAATTATGACAAACAACAATAAAAATAATGGCAAATCATTCTGAATAATAGTTATAACAAAAATAAATACGACAATCGAAGTATAAAGAAGACGTGCGCTAAAGTGTTCATCTGAACCCCTCGGTTAAATCTCCACAATACAAGACTAAAGTATAACTCAGTGATGAAAGAGGTTAATAATTGAGCTTTAGATTCCAAATTCAAATAAAGGATAAGCTAGTATGAAACGATAAGGGGGACAAACATGTTACCCCTACTAGCTATCCTAGTACAACCCGTCCCTACTACAAAGTGGTTCAAAACGCCACAAAAGACAACAGACACATGGTGATAAAAAGGATAAATAGTTCCAAATTGAACTCACAATTTGTACATCCCAATATTTTATAAGAAAGACGAAGAAATATAGAGAGAGTTGAGTTATGAAGAAAATAGGAAAAGTATCAAAAGGCTTGCTACGCAGGAGAGATGATGCTGGACGATAGAGAAAATGGGATTTAATTTATTGGCCAGCATCATACTCCTGCATATTAAGCCTAAAAATGATGCTATTATAAATTACCATCTTGTTTATATATACTTCACATATTTCAGCTAACAATTGTACTTGTTTTTTTGACAGGAGGCATTTGAATCGTTGTTTCGGAAGATATGGATATTGAAAAATCTTAATCACATTAAATATCTAACTTATTTAAAATGACCAAGAACCAAGTTTTAGATCTTGACTCCAACGGACAAAGCAAAGTTTCAAATAGAGGGTGAGGTTCAGCCTTTTAGATTCTAAAAGGAGAATGTTTCAACAATAAGAGACATCACAATTCACAAGCCAGTTATGTTTTATTTGGTATGACTAAAGCTGAATTGGGAAGCAAGGCCCATTCTTGGAGTAGCGCTCTCATTTCTTCAAACTTAGAGTTCGAATGTAAAAATTCAGATTAAGGGGTAAATAATCTCATCACTACACAACAATCCATGTTAGTAAAAATCAGCTATAAAATAAGTAGGGAAGAAGGATAAGGAGAAAAAAAAACCATTTTGCATTATACACAGAAAAGCACAAGTACTAGCGATTCAAAACTCATTATATTTGCATTCACGCCAACACCAACATCAACAGAAGAACGTAAACTTTGATTCATAGTAACATGTACGGGATAAACTTTGTTGTGTACTTTGTATCATGTACAAATCTTACGGTTGATACATAACCCCCATTATTTGAAACATAAATCATTATGAATCATGCTCATCAATATCTCCTGAAAATCACTAATTTCACCACTTGGATGAAGAAGGTAGTATTTTCCCAGAATCCCACTGACTTCAATTGCTCCACAGTCTTGTAATCTATTAGTAAAAATTCGTAGGATTGTTCCATTTTGAAAAAAGTTCAGGTGAACCAAAAACCAAACTAATACATTTTTTTAAAAAAATTTAAGGAATCTCATTGTGTAATTCAATAATTATACTGTGTCCCAACAAATTTAGTATTTACTAAAAATGCCTTAAAATTGTTGTGTCGTGATACTTTAGACTCTAGTGATACATGGTAAGTTAAAACTGTTAAGAATAAAATGGGGAAAAAACGGTACATTTAAACTTGTTAACTAAAACATTATGATACACAACAAATTCATGTATCAATGCATCGTCTAAACACTATACACACTGATTCAAAATGTATCAGCAAGCACACTTGCTGGCGCAGTTATTGAAATTAATCACTGATACATGATAAAAAATTTCAAAAACCCTTGATACATAGGAAATCATATGATACACATCTAATTCATGTATCAAAGCATAGACTAAACATTATAATCCACTTAGTACTTATGTATTAAACCTATTGTCCGATACATGATAATAATTTTCATAATTTTTTGATACATATTGGATTCCTTAAAATTTTTACTAATTTCAACAACAATTTACAATAAGTATAAAAATACAAACTCAAAACAATGTAGACCTGACAACAATGTTTGCTGCTTCTTTTTTCTTTTTTTGTTGTATTTTGACAACCTTTGATTTTGATGTTTCGCCAGAGTATTTGTTTGAATCCTTCTGAAGATTCATAGGATCATGCAAAGACTTTTTTGTATTTTCTTTCCAATTTTCATCGTCGGAATCATATATCCTTCTATTAATTGACGGATCCATTAATATAATGTAATAGAACAATTAACCAAAACAAAAAAAGGAAGGAAAGAAGAACTGATGATGGAGTAATAAGAAAAAGAAGAAACCAATAACAGATGCTGGGTTAAGAAGAAGAAAGACGATGATGGAGTAAGAAGAACTGAAGACGTGATGGAGTAAGAAGAACAATAAGAACGGGAGAGAAATTGTCCAGTTTTTTGAAATTTCGAATTTTTTGAATTTTGAAATTCAAAATTTCAAAATTTGGTGTTTTAATTAAAATTAATAATTCAAAATCAAAAACTTATTTAGAAGATTGAGTGTTTTAGTGGAGAAAAAATAAGCATTATATTGGAGAATTGTGTATTATAGGAGCGAGAATGTTATGTATCTATACACTTCTATTAAAATTTTTAAAAAAAAGAATTATGTAATATTTAAAAAAAGAAGGAAAAATTAGAAAATATAAAACTTATAGTTGTATGTTTAAGTTTTTTTTTTTTTTGTTTTAACAAGCTTATCGATTTCGGCCTGTTATTGGGCTTATTTCTACTGGACCTTCAAAGTTAGCTTTGCTTAATTGGACATTATTCATATTTGTGTCATCCCTAGTCAACAATCACAGTGGACACTCAGTTGAAACATTGCCAGCTAACACATCAATTTTTTAAAGTTTAAAGTACATAAACCACAATAAAATTTGTGCGCTAAGTACTATCTCAAAAGTTTCTCAAAATAGTTATTTTGAATTTTTCAAAACTACATAACAAAAGATAGATAAGTTAATTATGTATCAAATACATAACTATAAATAGATTCATACTGATTTAAGGTGTAAAATAATTGGAATTTTGTATCAATAATAATATTTGTGCCAACTACGTCATACACCAAAAAAGTAATTGTGATATATTTAATAGAGGCAGAGTGATGTATCCAGATGTTAAGAGAAAAGAAGAAAAAAAGGATATTTGCAATAAATTCAAGTGGTAGGGATATTTAGAGATTACATTATCTTAAGTCATATCTGTTGGGTCTTAAAAGGTGTGAATGGAAAATAAAAAGTTGCAATTTTTATGATGAGTTGTGACTTTTATGAAAAATTGTGACTTTTATGAAGAGTTGTGACTTTTATGAAGAATTGCGACTTTTATGAAATATTGTGGCTCTTATGAAAGTGTGTGATTTTTTTCGAAAGATTGTGACTTTTCCAAAGGTTTGTGACCCTTCCGGTAAGGTACAATAAGAATATTTCCACATTACTCTTTGTTTTCTATAAATTGAGGGATTTCCTCTAATTTTAGTTGAATAAATTTTCTTGACTTCCTCAACTACTACTAAATCTAGTATTCTAAGTGTACTTTACTGCCTTTAGTGGTTCGCTGGCACCGTGATTTTAGGTACCGATATACCAGTGATTGAGTAAGATCGTTCTATCCTTGGAGGATATATTCCATTAACCTCGATTACTTGAGGGGAATAATTTTCTTTAGTGGGTACTTTGCATTTAGTGGCTCAATTTTCTTCTTTAATAAAAATATTTTGTATATTACTCTTTAAACTTTCTTATTTTGTATCAAGTTCTTTAAAGTTTTTGTTCTAAGTATCTTAGGAATATAAGATAACCAACAGTCTTAAGGAAATAAGTATACTGTTGGTATTTCTTGTATTCTATTGATGGAGGAAACAAATCATGGAAGTAAAAGATTAATGGATTACTTTCTAGTATTCAATGTTTTATGTAGCAAGGTTGAAATGAGAATGTAAAAAGAGAATTGGTGGTATTCCGATTAAAGATTACGCCAGATAACTTTCTTATCATTTATCTAAGGAGAAAAAATAATTTTTCAGAGTTAACTCTTTTGATATTTATCATGTGTCTTTGAAAAAAGATCTGCAAATCATATGTTTTGGAATGAATTTTTCTTGGCAAATAATGTTGCTTTTAAAATTCTTTAGTTTGCAGAATGAGAGATGCACATTTTGTTTGATAAAATAGAAATGTTATAGTTGGAAGGTTATTTGAAAAGAAAAACATTTCTATGTGATAATCTACAACATAAGTTTTATTTTGTTTGGAGTAAAAAAAAATTATCGTTTTGTACTCCTTGTGAATTTAATTGTATCTTATTATTGTAGACTAAAATTTTTATAGTTTTCTACTCTATATAAATTACCTATATTTGACCCAATGAAACTTTGTTCATGGGTAGATCTATAACATTTAAATTGAAAGTTATGGAAAGGTCCTTCTGAAAGAGACATTTGACAAGGTTCTGACTCTAAACAATGTTTATATCACATAAAATTGTAAGAAGTTGGAACCAAATACTTGTGAGAAAAATCAACCTCGCAGAGAGATTTTCAAACTCAATATTTTTATTTTGTTCTTAATTGATTGAGTCAAATTGTTTGTGACATGATCACTTAGGCATATCAATGAGGAAAATTGATCAACTTAGAAGTTTTGTCTAACTTTGAGTGCAATAAATAAAAATATCAATTTTGTGTGGTATCTAAGTATGTTGAGTATTCTCATAAATCTATTGAAAGGTATTTTGATTTTTTAGAGTTGATTTACACTGAAATTTGTGATATGAAGCCAACATCATCTTGTGGTGAAAAAAACTATCTCGTAACTTTCATTGACAATTGCATTAGAAGCAACTATGTTTATTTGCTAAATAGTAAGGATGAAGCAATACATATGTCTAGACAATATAATATTGAAAGTGCAAATCAATTGAGAAAAAGAGAAGAAGTGATAGGGATGGAGAATATAAATCTCCTTTTGCAGAAATATATTTGGAAAGTGAATTTATCCATCAAATTGTTGTCCTATTCACCAAAATCTAATGGAATTGCAGAATGAAAAAAAAACTGAAATTTGAAGAAAATGATGGGTGCATTACTTATAAGTTCAGGTTTACCACAAAACTTGTGTGGAGGAGTTATCCTTATTGCAAAATGGAACAACAAAAAAGTTTTCTGTTTCTGAAAGAAAGCAATAAAAAGTTTTGTTTGTTCAGGATACCATCTATTCCAAATTGGAAAGGGAGGAAATCTAACTTGACATATTTCAAACTGTAGGGGTGTATAACCAAAGTCCGAGTTTCTATTCCTACAAAGGATTAAAATAGGAACTAAGATTGTGGACTATAAAATTAGACTTGAGTAGTCTAGTGAAGGGTCTAAAAGACCCCGAGAAGAAAAAAATGGAGAATGTACTTAATAAAGAGATTTAGAGTCGTAGCAAATGTCAATGGACATCTACTTCCATCAAATATGATCTTGTAACATTTTCTATGTCTTGTGTGGACTCATTCTTTTGAAAAGATGGTATCAATAATGAAATTGGTTCAATCTGGAGCAATCCTATTGGAAGTTGGTTGATTTTCCTCTATGAAATAATCCTTTGGGTTCAAAGTGAATCTTCAGAAGAAAAATAAAAGCGGATGAAACTGTTGACAAATATAAAGCAAAACTTTTCATCAAAGGCTTTAGAAAAAAATAGTATATGACCTCCAAAATCATCAAATTAATGTGAAAGCAACTTTCTTAAATGGAGAATTTACAAAATAAATTTACATAAAATAACCTGAGGGTTTTGTGGTTCCTGGTAAAGAAAAGAAAGTGTCTGAACTTGTTAAGTCACTTTATGGACTAAAACAAACATTCAAACGACATAATAAATTTGACCAAACCATATTGGCAATTGAATATAAGAATGATTGAAGTGATAAATGTGTTCACATTAAAATCACAAAGTCATTGTTTGTTTGTATATTGATGATATGTTGATCATCAATAAAGACACTGACATAAATGCTACTAAACATATGTTAGAAGAAAGTTTGATATGAAAAACTTGGAGTTGCAGATGCGATCTTAGGTATAAAAATCCTTAACTCCATAATGTTTTGCATTGTCAAAGTCTCATTGCGTTGAAAATTTACCTGACTAGTTCAAATATTTGGATTTCAATGTTGTCAAGTCTCCAATAAATGTAAAATTTGCATTTCAAATGTGTGAAGGTGAAAGTGATTCATAATTGGATTGTGCTATAGTATTGGGAAGTATGATGTATATCACAAAGTGTGCACGATCAGATATAACATGTGCTATTAATGAATTGATTCGGTTCACGAGTGATTCTAATTGAGCTCATTGGATGACAATGAAAAAGAGTTTGGGGTATTTAAGAAACACTCAAAACTATGTATGGCAATATATCAATATCCAACAATATTGAAAGGATATAATGATACAAATTAGATAACCGGGATCAAATGAAGTAACATCCACGAGTGGATATAGACTTACTCTTGGTGGAGGAAAAATCTTTTGGAAATCTTCCAAAAGGACATGTATCACTAGCTCTATAATGATCTCTAAGCTAGGTACTCTAGATAAGGCCGATGAATAAGTTGGAAGACTCTGTAATTTCTCGATAGATATTATTTTTTGGCCACAATCTTTGGCATCAGTATGCATACACTTTGATAGTCAAGATAAAATATGTAGGGCATGAAAAATTATGTATAACGAAAAGTCTCGTCATATAAGACATAGACATAATATCGTTAGCTCTACTGGAATTATCACAATTGACTATGTAAAATCAAATGATAATGTGTCAGATCCACTTACAAAAATACCTAACTAGAGAGAAAGTTGAAAGATCATCTAAGAGAATAGGTTTACGGCTTAGGACAAGTCATCATGATAGTAACTCTACCTAGAAGGCTGGAGATCCCGAGAACTAGATTCACAGAAAAAAAAAGTTGGGAATGGCGGTTCGACATTGTCAACCAACTCAATCCATCCTCACGATGAAGAAAATGCTCAGGATCAAGAATACAACATTAAGATTTGTTAATGAGTTAATAAAGCTTAGTTTCAATGATTTGCTAAGTGTGACAGATTTAACCAAATAGTGTATCCACGCGACAACAGAGTTGGAAATCACCTATGTGAGTGTGAAGTATAAGCCGCTTCAAAGAGAATTATTGTCAAAATTCTATTTTCTATACACTCATGAAACCAAGAGTGTGTTCATGGTTGAAATAAACACAATCTTAAGAACCATAAATAGGAAAGGGTTAATCGTGTGACATATGGTTATCTAGGTACAAACCAAAGCTCGAAGGTTCAACGATATCACATCTACTAATCGATCAAGTATATCTGACATATGTTCACTATGAAGTCCAAGGAGAAACCTACTTATCCAGATGCAATTAATTCTTGCTTGTAAAGTATGCATATTTATCCGTTTCTTTGTCTAGGAGTCATTCCTCATTCATGGAGGGGATTTCTGGGTTTTAAAAGGTGTGAATGAATAATGAATAGTTACGACTTTTATGAAGAGTATTGACTATTATGAAAAATTATGACTTTTATGAAGAGTTGTGACTTCTATAAAAAGTTGTGACTTTTATGGAAAAATTGTGACTTTTATGAAGTTTGTTACCGTTTCTGTAAGGCACAATAAGAACATTTTCACACCACCCTTTGTAATCTATAAATAAGGGATTTCCTCTCATTTTAGTTGAATGTGTTTTCTTTACTTCTTCTACTACTACTAAATCTAGTATTCTAAGTGTACTTTACTATCGTTGAATGGTTCGTGTATACCGTGACTTTACGTACCGATACACAAGTGGGTAAGATCGTTCTATCTTGGGAGGATATATTCCATTAACCTCGAGTACTTGAGGGGATGGTCCAACGGGGTAGCTCTTCTACGTTACTTTGAAGGTGTGGGTTTGAATCCCCTCAACTGTATTTTATAATCATTTTAAATTTTAAATAGAATACTCTAATTTTATTTTCATTAACTTATTTTTTAGTTGTCTAAGCTAATTAAATTACATCCTTAATTTGAAATCTAAGTTTAGTAGCTAATTAAATTTTCAATGAATTTGATTTTTTAATTGTTTTCATTAAAGTTTGAAATAAAATTGTAATTATTCAATTTAAAGTTAATAAACATTCTAAACTATTTCTATGAAGTTGCTAAAAGTGAACAAAAAAACACCTCATTTGATTCTGCTTTCATTATTTATGTCTCGTTATAGTGAAAGCTTTAAAGACAAAAATGATTTCATTTTTGGCTTAATCTCCTCCCCCCCCCCTCCCCCCCCCCCCTTTTTTTTCCTTTGTCGTTCACTTTCCATTAAATTTAACACAAATAAAGCTAAATGTTATGCACTTTAATTTTTAAGATTTTGGAACATTTATTCGTAAAAAAAAGACTAATATCAATATTATGTAGTTCAATTTTAGTTTTTTTTCAATCCATTCATTAATCAAGAAAATAATAATTACTTGTGTAATATTTGGACATCCTTCATAAGATTTCTAGCTGCACCACTTTCACAGAAGTCACAACTTTTCATAAAAGTCACAAATTTTTATAAAATTTACATTTTTTTAAAGTCACAACTTTTCATGAAAGAGATGACTAGTTTTGAAAATAAATAAATTATAGGGAATCCTGGTTTGTGGTGGCATCGCGTAGGCAGAGCTAGTGTTCTCTTATATATATATATATATATATATATATATATATATATATATATATATATATATATATATATATATATATATATATATATTAGAATAATTACGCGCGCGACGCGCTGAATTTTAATATCATATAATTTATAAAATAATACTTAAAACCTACCGTTATTAAAATTAAAACACTATATTATTTTACATACAAGAGTACGCATTAACAAACATTAATAATGAAAATGAAAATTATAACATATTATCACTTATTATTAATAAAATAAGCATAAATTAACGATTATAAAAAAACATACCAAGATCTGTAAAATATAAGCAATGATGTGAGTGAACCACACAACATGAGCAAAGTAGATGAATATTTAATGGGTATAAAAAGAAGAAGAGGTTCAGAATTTTAGTTGTTTTAAAATGGGAGGAAATCTTTCAAGGGCGGCTCAACGTAATCGGAGGCCTAAAGCAAAATCTTAATTAGAGGCATAAAATCTAAATAAACTTCATATGCATTTATTGAATTTTTTTCTTACGTTTTTAAATGCAAAGTATTACTTAACATTTTTATATATATAAATGATTTATTCGATTTCCTTTTCAATTATTAGTTTCAAATAAGATTTTATCAATTCAACGTTGAAAATATTATTTTACTCAGACAATCATTATATGAATTGTTAACATATTTCTACAAATAATAAGTTGACAAATTTTAAATAAATATAAGATTTAGGCTAGGGCATGAGGCGGAGCATTTTACGTAGTCTCAAACGAGGTGTAAGCCTCTAAACGTGGGGCGTAAGCTCTATGGATCTTTAAAACTTAAATTTACAATATAATATAATAATATAATGACATAAAATTATTTTAAAAACAACAATAATTTGAGATAGTTACCAACATGACTAAGAAAACTCATCAAAAATTAAATTTCTAACATGATTATACAAGTATAAATAATCTAAAAACTTAACTTTTTATAATAAAAATCTTTATTTCTTCATTTCTAAAAATATTTTTATCCAACTATATATTTGAATGGGGTTGAAGAGAATAAAATAATAATTCTAAATATATACTTTTTTGATAAATAATGAATGTTTTTTCTATATAGAAAAAAATCAACACACAATTTACTCTCGTAAAAAATTGAGCCCCCCTAAAATTGGCGGCCTAAGACCAATGCCTTACTAAAGTATGCATAGAGTCGACCTTGAAATCACTCTGTTTATATACAACAAATGGTAGCGAACAAATGTTTATTATGTCTTATCGGAAATATTACAACTATTTGGAAAAGAACCAACCTTTCAGAAAGGTCACAACCTTTCATAAATGTCATGTCTCTTCATTAAAGTCGCAACTATTAATTAAATTTATAACTTTTCATTAAAGTCGCAACTATTAATTAAATTTACAACTTTTCATTAAAGTCACATTTTCATTTTTTCCTTCTTGGTACAAACCTCCTTCAAGTTCAAAAAATTCATATTGTAGTAACTCCAAAAAAAGTTGTTTGTATCTGTCTCTGTCTTATTCTTATTTATTTATAGTTAGAGGGGGAAAAGACAAATATACACCCAAACTATAACAAATAGTATGTTAATACCCTTCATTATACTTTAGGGTTGTATATACTCTTATCGTTACTCTTTTAGGTTGTGTATACCCTTAAAATTAATGGACGGACAAGTGGCTTCATCTCAACCATTTACTTGATTTTATTTGTTTATTTACATTTCAAATTAAAAGGCTGAACACATAAGCGGCTCCTTGAACTAGTCAAGATTTTCCGTATGGACACCTTAACAAGAGGTTCTTTCTATTGAACACTTAAACCACTCAAAAAGTGTACCTACCAAACACACCTGACTGACTTGTCACGAGTCGTTTGAAGCATTTATTTTAAGATGAAGCGTGTAACATTACACACCTCCTACGTGGAAAATCTAATCTTCGTGGTAACTTTATATCCCACGACATAACATCCAGGTCATCCAGACAAATAGAAGATATGCAAAGACATTTGACAAATTTAATACCAGAGGAAAGCCTTGTTGGTACTCCACATTTGACCGCTCCAAAAAAACTAAGAAGAAAAAAAAAATTCAGGATTACTCAAAGCCCCAAAAATGCTACAGATAAGAAATGCATTACAATGAGTGAAACAAATTTACCTTGAGGATACTTTCGCTCAATTGAAGATTCTTGAGAACACAAGAAGAACTGAAAAAATTGGCAATATCACATTCTAAATAAAATGTATAGTCTATAAGCGAAAGTTTGCCAATAGAAGAATATTCTTGAAGGAGATATAGTTGAACTTCCACTAAAATCAAAAGATCTCAACATTGGAGCTTTAATTTCAACATCAGTCAATTTCAAGAGTTTCAACACCAAATTATGGAGAAATGAACAATTAGAGATTAAACTTTCAAGCAACTTGGAAGAAATTGAGTCATAACATAGTTCAATGTTTATATTCTTCCTACGGCGTGCTCGATTGAAGAAAAGAACTGCTGTTGTTGTATTCTACGGCTGATTCGAGAAAACTAGGATATTTGAAGAAGTTGAAATCGACAAATTGGACATTTCTTTCGGTGTGAAGAAGATGAATGAAGATTTTTGTTTGATTTTCAGCAACAATGATGAGATGTGGAGAAGAAAGAGATGAGAAAATTAAAAAAAGGGGGAAAATCTAAGGTTGGATAAATAAAGGGGGAACATTTAAACCGTTAAGTGTGTCAATCAGACACATCAGCTTTTTTTTTCTCTCACTTCATGCGCTTAAAAGGCATGCCTCAAACGACAGGTAAAAAGTCAGCCAGATGTGTTTGATAGATACACTTTTTGAGTGGTTTAAGTGTTCAATAGGAAGGAACTCTTGTTAAGATGTCTATACGGAAAATCTAGACAGTTCAAGGGGCCGTAATTAAAATAAAAAACAAAGATCCCTCCTCCGGTAAAACATAACCCAAAACCTTTTAAATCAAACAAAAGACAATTGTTCTTCACAACATTTTAATTTGAAGCTCTTACAAATCTCATTAACAAAAGACCTAGTAGCATGTGCTTTCATTACTATTAGAAATTTGATCTATTGTCACGGTTCATTTACCGTTGCAATAGACTTTCTTTACGTAGCTGTAGGTCTAAGGCCACAGTTATGGAAACCGGTACAACAACTCGTGTAGCAATAGATCTGTTGTCACGGTTAGGTGTGGCGATTCCCATAACCGTAGCAGTAGATTGAACTATTGCCATAGTTTTCACTTTAATTAATTTCCAATGGTTCGTGTCGTATTGGTACGGTTATAAACCGTTGGTAAAGAGTTATATGCATCAGTTTTGTTGAGGCTAGGGCTATAATTTTTCTCTCTGTTCAGCAACAATTTTATCCTATTGCGACGGTTATTATCAGGTAATGCAACAGTTTTAAACCATTACAAATGTTGCTCAATGGCTATTGCTAACAGTTATTACAGGGTACTGCTACAGTTCTTATTTTCTGCAACAATTGTTATTAAGCTATTGCAACGTATAGATATTATTGGTGCACTTCCACAAAGATCACATTTTTAGCTAGTCAGTAATTTTATAATATAAATACACAAATCGTTCACGAGAAGAAATGTTCATAACCAAAATTATGATTCAAGATCCATGTGGCTAATATCAATAAAAGCAAAATATACAAATACTTTTTTACCAAAAAAAAGGTGAAACACATGCACACATATTCCAATCTTCAAAAATAAAAGATTTCTATAACATTAGTAAGTTAACATCGACTATTCAGATCCTATGTCAAGTCTTCACTACTGCTTTCATCGCCTTCTTCAATTTCATCACCTACATACAATTGGAAAAAATATAAATAATTTAGCAGTTTTTTCGCAAAAGCTTAATGGATCCACAATACTCATATATTACAAAGTTATTACTTTATATATCTAAGACATACATATATAAACTCAAATAACATTTAACTATATATATGTTATAGCTGTTTTTTTTAGACTATGTTATGTACATCTGTCACATTCCTCAAATATGGATGAAATTTTTCTATCTGCAGTTACTATAGTAACGTTTCAACACACTTTCACTAAAAATAATGGAAGCAGTACTAGTATTAAATAGCAAAGGAGCTCTTCTTTCTTTGATAGCCACTGATTTTGAAGACATCAAATGGTTCGAATTTTTCCATACGCAGCTTTTACAAGGCAATGCATTAATCACCAATAATAAAATGACTCAAGATTTATACAATGAAATATCAAGCATACAATTCACAATACAAGGTTCATTGCTACAGAACCAACACCAACAACCTTCTTTACAAGCTGTAAGCATAAACAATAAGCACTCTCAGAGAATTCCAAGTTCCTTTGGAAAGTTTTCATAGCCTGTTTTTGTGTATGCTTTGAATTGAATGTTTAATACATTATTTCCCTTTGTAATTTTGTCGATTAAATGTTCATTCGAAATGTTTTCCCATTCAACCTTAATGATCAGTTGGAAGATTGTGATTATCTGTAAAATAGTCTAAATCCTTTTGAAGTTTCTACAAACTCTTTCATTGATTTTAACCATTGTACAGTACACATCTCTATCATAATTGACCTTTTTCCTTACTGTACAATTGCTTAAATGGTTGTTTATCCTTGTCTCCTGTTGAAGATAGTTTTTACTTTTGACAGTCTTTAAGTCATTTTCACTTCCCATTGGGACAAAACTGTATATATGTTATAGTTGTTTCTTTTAGACTATATTATGTACATCTTTCACATTAAATATGGACGAAATTTTTCTATCTGCAGTTTCTATATTGTTGTTTCAGCATACTTTCACTACAAATAAGCTCAACAATTTAGCACATTAAAGATGCAGATGACAACATATTCACATTTTCCTAGTACTTCGGCTTTAATGCTATATTTTAGCAAAAATTCTGCAGATTTTCGGACTCTAAAACCTTCGCAAAAATAATATGCACAATTTAGCATAATTAAATACCTAAACTTCAAATTTGAACACTCTATATTCATTAAAAAAAATTCATGTGTGTACTCATTTAAGGTAGATGGCAATTAGTGCATTCCGATCCTCAAGTTTGTGAATTAAAACAGGGCATTACCAATTCCTAAGGTCTCTGAACTAAAACTGTCACAGAGCAACAAGAAAAAAGAGTCACAATAGAAAAATACACAGTCGAAACAAAGAAAGGAAATAGAGGAGAAGAAGAAGAAGAAGAAGTGAAAACATAGAATTAGTGACACCAACCTTGCTCGGCCCCTTGAACATAAGTAGATTCTATTGGTGAAGGAATGAACAATGCTTCCATTATGATAGGATTAATTAATCCGGCATTCTTAAGTTGTGCAATTACATATTCAGCTATAAGAAAATACAAGAAATATAATTAGCAATCATGGATACATTTAATAGGTTTCTAAGCTTGTACATTACCTTATTCTTTAGGTTGATCATCTGTTTAAGGAGTGACATAATTCATTTGCACTTGATCATCGAAATGTATCTCTCCGACAGGCTGCTCCTTGACATGCTGCTTCTCTATAGAATTGTCTATTTGCTTCAGATTATGGGGCTACTGTTTGTTGTACTCTTATTAATTTAAGCATATGTCCTTTCTCGCACTCTATAGCTTGAACAATTTCATTTATTGTCAATAACCGCCGTTTCTTATTTGCCAAGAATGATAATGATCCCGATTTAGCAAATGTCTTGTTTTTTTGCTTCTTGTGTTTCTTTTTGAAGGTTCTTGTTGACTCATGACTATTCCAACTTGTGTAAAAATAGGACTAAAGAAGTTAAAAAGTATGGAAGAGTAGACCCACTTACTAGTAAATGTTGTTGCAACATTTAGTATCAAAATTTTAATTTACACAAAAACATAGCTTGGAGAAAACAACATATATTATATGATAGACCTAGATTAGAGAAAATAACATATATTATACGAAGAAATAAGGGCACGCTCAAATAGATTTCACACCTTTGAAATTTCAGGTGCAGAAAGTGTACAAACTGATCGGTCATGCTCTTGAACAAAACTTAAGTAGTCACACCACAATGCAACAGACTGCGTCAAGCAAATAACTATCAATATATTTATTTTGATTCTAGTAAACCATTTAATGTATTCATAAATAGAATTATATTTTGTATCTCCCTAGTGGGCCAACTTGCATATAGCACAGACAACCAGAAAGTATTAGTTTTCGCAAAGCTAACAAAATTATCTCAACATTTATGCTACGATAAGGAGGAGAATGCGACACATTCTACAACAACTGCTGCCACGCACAACACACATTAATCCCTCCATATTAAGAGCCAATTGATCTAAAGTAAAATTTCCAGGGAACTAAGCACAAACAAAACTACTGGAAGATCAAGCCAAATAATTTCTAATATTTGAAGAAAGGACAAAATATTTATGGGGGAAGCCAAAATCAAAATTTAACAATAAAATCAGTTCCATCCTACTTGAAAGCAATACTTCCTGGACCACATAAACTACTGATCGGAAGGCAATTAAATTAGGCATATACAATGAGAAAATAGGTCAAGGAACTAGGTAAATAGTCGCAACCTCCAAATTCTATGCTCTTTCAACTCATCGGAATTCGTTAAAGAAAGACGAAGCTCTACATATCACAACCAGGCGTGAGAAAGACAATAACTCAAATTAATCCGGTAAGTAAATGGAATCAAGCACAAAAGCTGAACTAGAGGAACAATAAAGCAACCAAACAACTAGAAATTATGCTAACCAAACTTAAATAGATCGATATATAACTCCTTAAAACTACTTAACGAAAACCATTCAATGGAACCAATGATTGAAGTCATCTCACACACTAACAAAACAACAACAAATACAAGAGCATAGCTTATACATCAAACAACTTAGACACCCTCAATTTGAAACTAAACAGTCCATCACTAGGCATCAACAGTAAATCAAAGAAGAAAAGAACCATTCGAGTGAATGATAACAAAAGGTGACAGTAAGCTTCAGATTGTCAAAACAAAATGCCGACTAAAATGAGTTGAGGTCAAAAGGAGTTAACTTTTCATGGGCAGCGACACTGAGATGAGAACACATAAAGGTTTCTAACAGATTCATCTACATTTCTAATTTACCAAGGGCTGGCTTCTTGTATCTTTTGTGTCTTTTGCAATACAAATAAATATTGGAATATTTTATAACTATAATCTCATAGATTTTCCATCAAAATCATTTCAATGAAGACAAGGCAACTCTTAAACAATAACAGGGCATATTCAATAACAATTTAGCTCGTCTTAAAGTCATTAGGCACCGGTACAAAGCAATTATTTTAGATCTCCCAAGTGAGCCATCTTGCATATAACACAAACAACCAGAAAGCATTAATGTTTTCATTCTAGAGCCTGACTCAACCCTAAATCCTCTCAAGTTTAACTCTAAATCTTCTTCAACTTTAACCCTAAATACTCAACTGTAACTTTAATTTAGAAGTATTTTATTTTCCTGTTTCACTATACATCATAGAGTCAAACATGGGAAGTATATACATTACCTACATTAGAATAAATAACATAGATTTAAGACTAACCCATTTATTTATCTTTAGAATTTTTCAAAAATTATTCAATGGGGACTTAGAAATCATGAACTAGCAGCGAAGACATAAGCATTTTTCACCTTTATATGCAAGAATTTGAAGTCGAACCTAGCTGTCCAAGAGGACCAACGAGTTTCAACAAAAGCTTCGATGTCCAAGAGGACCAACGAGTTTCAACAAAAGCTTCGATGTCCAAGAGATTTGTAGTCTAAGTGATTGTTGTTCGCTGTTGTTTTCCTCATCAAAAGCTTCGCTGAAAATTTCTGAAATAGCCGCTTTGATTGAAATTTTCTGTAATAGGGCTTCTTAGTCGTTTTGTGGAGTATCCTCACATCGCTGAAAATTTCTGGAATATAGCGTTTTTTCTTATAGATTTTTTAATTGAGAGAATATATTTGGTTCTTTGTAAAATTAAGTGAGGGAAACATAGGGATAAAATTCAGAAGCACCATATTTTTCCTAAAATAACTGTTGCCACAGTGTTATTGATTGCAACATTCTAATATTTGTAGCCATATAATCTCGAGAAAATTAATGATAAGGTGCAAATAAGTTTCGTTTTTATTTTTGGTGAACATTGACCATGAGCTGGTCAAATCCTCTTTAAAATGTAATTAAATTTTGGATCAAATTAATATTTTTGAAATTTTCTAATCTTTTATAAGATATAAAAAAGCACACTTTTACAATTCAAACTAAATCATTTAAAAAGAAAAAAAATTTCATCTTCCCTCCTCTCTTCTCTCTATTCTTTTCTTTCTCCCTTGGGGGTTGTTCTTCTTCTTCCTTAGAAATTCGGAAATTCGTCGTTACTCTTTTGCTCCATTCTTTACTCTTCCTCTTCAGTCCTCCATTACTCTCTCATCTTTCTGAACCGTAATCTCGTTCGACTAGCAACTGGTAAGTTTTTTTTTAAAAAATATTTTACAATTTTGATGTTTTTTGCTTGGATTAATGAACAATAAAACGTTCTGTAGATATAAAAATTGAATAATCGACTTAATGATGTGTATTATTTATTATTTTTTTAAAAAAATCAGTCAACTCAAAAAAATTCTTATTTTGAGAAAATGTACATGTATTGTTATCATTTAGTGAAAAGTCATTTTTTGTTGCTATTGTTTCTTTTTGTGGCCTTTGTAGATATGATTTTAGAAATATAGTGTTATTCAGGCGTCTAACATATATTTCATTTTTTGAAATATTTAGCGTATGTTGTAACATTTTAGTGATATGCTGGTGCATATACAAACAATTATCATATGTTGTTACATCTCACTTTATGTCAACAAAATGGTCATCTGTTGCCACATAAGATTCAAATGTTGCAATAATTATGTCAACATATGATTCATCTGTTGCAACATAAAATCTATATGTTGCGACAGAAATTTTATGTGTTGCAACAGCAGGTACATATGTGGCAACATAATTTTAATTTATGGCAACAGACTATCCATCTGTTGCAACATACTGCTATTGTTATTTTATAATGAATTGTAAAATCTAAATATTTTTTTATTTACCTTGTAGATAAAATGATATAAGAAACTGCATCCATGAAAATAACTCAGTCTGCATGTGCCCCAACAGAAAGGATATATGTGGCAACATATGTCATAAAAAGAAAGATATGTGGCAACATATGTCACAGAAAGAAGATATGTTGCAACATATGTCACAGAAAAAAGATATGTAATAATATATGTCACAGAAAGAAGATATGTGGCAACATATGTCACAGAAAAAAGATATGTGGCAACATATGTCACAGAAAGGAGGTATATGTCAACATTTTATTGTTACCAATGTGGTGTGTGTGACAACATATATAACATTTGTTGTAAAAAATTATAAAATTATCTGCATTTACCTCACAGAAAGGATATATGTGGCAACAGATGTCATACTATGAATTATAAAAGAGAATTAAAAAAATAAAAAGGTATAAAAAGATCGTTTTGTTTCATATTTCAAATTTAATTGATTTTTACTAATTTTCGTTTTCTTTTCTCTCTTTCCTTTCTCTCGTTCCATTATTTCTTCATAATTCAAATTGTTGTTATGTTTTTCACAACATCAGTGATAATATGTTGCGATTTTCTTCTACAACAAAGGCGTTGTTGCCCTCATCATTTATAGTTTATTGTTTATATCTTCTAATATAAAATATAATAGTTATTGGTATTAAATCAAGACTTTTTAGTGGTTTTTATCACTTATTTGTTTGTAGGATGGTTATGTTGTTATTCCTTTTGAAATATTATCTCGTAAAAAGTACATTTTAAGATGTACATGTTGGCACATATGACATGTCTGTTGCAATTTTTTCAACAAAACGTGCATATGTTGTCACACATGTCACTTTAAGGTTAACTTGATCGATAATTGAGCGATTTAGGAATGAAAAAATGTCAAATCCAATAAAATTTTAGTACTTTGGACCATAATTAAGCAATAAAAATATGCTATAACACTTGGAACAACGATTTACAACGATGTTATATAACTATCATATGAATTTACTTGATCATTCTATGATGAACTAGTGATATGATAACCTTTATAAAAATAATTGATAGAATTGAGAAAGATTGTTATACTATACTATAATTTTGTACTTAAACATGTTGTAGGACTATATATTAGTGTTACATGTTGAAATAGGTGACAATTTAATTGAATTAGCCCCTCAAAGACCATTTTATGATATACATATATTGCCACATATAACATTTCTATTGCAATTTTTCCAACTGAACATGCATATGTTGCCACATATGTCACTTTAAGAATGGGTTAATCGATGAATTGAATGATTTATGAATGGAAAAATATCAAATTGGACCAAATTTTAGTACTTTGAAACATGATTAAGCAATAAAAATATGTTAAAACACTTGAAATAACGATTTATAAGGGTGTTATATAGCTATCATATATAGTTACTTGATCATTGTATGATTAACTAGTGGTAAATCACAGTCTTTGTAAAAATAATTGTTAGAATTGATTAAGGTTGTTGTATTAGACCATAATTTTGTACTTTGATATGTTATAGGATTATATAGTAGTGTTACATGTTGAATTAGGTGACAATTCAATTGACTTAACCCCAAAAGATCATTTTATGATATACATATATTGCCACATATGACATTTGTGTTGCCATTTTTCCCACAGAACATGCATATGTTGCCACATATGTCACTCAAGGATGACTTAATCGATAAATTGAGCGATTTATGAATGAAAGAATGTCAACTTGGACAAAATTTTAGTACTTTAAACCATAATTAAGCAATAAAAATTTGATATAACACTTGAAACAATGATTTACAAGGGTATTATATAACTATCAGATGTAGTTACTTGGTCATTGTATGATGAACTAGTAGTAAATGATAGTCTTTGTAAAAATAATTGATAGAATTGATGAAGGTTGTTGTATTAGACCATACTTTTGTACTTAGACATGTTATAGGACTATATATAAGTGTTACATGTTGAATTAGATGATCATTTAATTGAATTAACCCCCCAAAAGGTTATTTTCTTGATATATATATATATATATATATATATATATATATATATA